CTCCTTAGTCGCACCTAATCAAATCAGAAGCTTATTTCATTTTTGGCGCTTAATTTCACTTTTAATTCCACAATGATTCACAGTAAATTGTGTATACGGAATGCCAATAGCTAAACACGTATTTATGACGGGATCGATCATGTCTGCTAAATGTATTTAGCTGATTTCAGATTCCGGCAACCTTGAAGCTTCACTGATCAACCGATAAACGTGGAACGAGCAATGATTATGAATTTTATTCTTATTGTTTTCTGCTCTTTTTGGGATCGTTAAGTACCTAACTTTGATCTTAAACACATTTCATTCCTTTGTTTATACAATTAATGCCCTAAAATAGTATAATTATTTTGTTTATGCAAGCACTAAACAAATAGAAACAAACTGAAAAGATTGTGTTTATCTTTGCTCGATTTGATTTCAAATGGAAATAACCAAAAGCTTATATAGATGTTGTACCATGGGGAGTTTTCCAAATAGATCGTAGATAAAGTAATTCGAAAATATACAAAATCACTGTTGCTTGATCTGGTATCATTTTATGAGTATATGTTTTAGTAGAAACTTTTCAAAATATTTAACATTTTTAGACTTTAAAATTCTAATCTAAATGCCAGTTTAAAAAGCTTCTAAATTTTTCCAATCCATTCTAATCTTATCTAATTATGAAAAAAGTTCAACATATAAGTATTTGCTATAATTTTATGACTGGTATATTTTATTTTTAGGGTTTTTAAAAACTCATTATCTAAGTGCTAAAATTTCTTTGCAGTCCAACTCTTTCTGTAAAATATTCGAACTTTTTTTTAAAGAAAACTTTAAATGAATTATCTGTACTAAATTGAGAGTATTTTTATTATAAAACATTTTCAAATTTTTAATAATTGCAACAATTCAATATTTTCCAAGCTTTAATGTTTCCCAATTTTTTATTATTTTCCTACAGAATTTTAAAACAGAAAACAACTTGAAACTGAAATATTGGGTATACCTTTTTTATTAATAATCTCTTAACCAGTAAACCTTTTTTTCCATTCATTGCACAAATTACGAACTCTTAGACGTGTCTAGCGTAAAATCTTATCTTTTTATGAAGCACACTCCGAAACATACTTTGGTTAAAATCATTATAATCCTAATCAGAGACTCGTACTATTAGATTTTTATTTATTTTTTAGCTAGTAAATTTTCCTTAACTTGTTTGAATCATATCTGAAACAGAAATACATATACTTCTAATCACATACCCGCTTATATTTTTTGCTTTACTTTTTACAACGAATAGTTGTTGGCTTTGTGCTAAATTACTGTTAATCACACCAGTATAAATATCTTTATTACTTTTTGTTAGTGCTTGCAAAATTGTATCTTTATCACCAAAGCGTGTTATGCTAAGAGCTGAATGCATGCATATTCATATATATAATATTATTTACACATTTTTCACATTAGAGTTAAAGTCTTAGAAAATCGTAAAGATTTCCAACTAATATTCTATAGGGAACGTCTTGACAGAGATACGCTTGCCTGTCCATTTGTCAAGCATATAATTATTTCCATTAGATATTCAAGTAATAAAAAATGTGTAAAAGCCAACGACAATCTTAATACAATTTACTTTAATTGAAAGCAAGTGGCCGTGCCGGCTGTCGGTCAAGTGTTTGCGTTCCCAAGGTATCGAGTACATGATAGATATATATAAATATATATCACAATATATATATTTACATTTGTCTATTGCACTAGCGACCTGCAGTTCAACTATGCATACGAAGGACAGCATACTATTACATTGAAAAATGGTCTATATATTATATAGAGTGAGCCCAATCCGGAACTTAATTATGGTAAATTTGATAGCAGCCTGAGAACCGCATGGACTGCTGGCCTTAGTTTTGGTTAAAAGGCGCAGCTCTTTGTTAATCGCCAAGTGGCATTCTATTGACACCTATTTCACAAAAGCCTCTTTTGTAAGCGCTGTGCATTGAGATCTTGAGTCATTACTTCCACACTGGTCACGTAGTAATGAACGAAAATTCTAAAGACAGTCTGAGGCTGCGGACGAGAGCATTCAAAGCGCAGGAATTTCATTGCGCAACCGGCGACAAATGCTGTAAAACAAATAAGAAACAAACAAAAACAAACGTCATAAAAAAACATAATTTGTACAACGAAATTTGTATACACTGCCAGCTGAGAGTTGCTTGAAGAATGAGCACTGCTTGGGCTAAAGAAAGGAAGCTCTAGAAAATTTAAAAAGATTTTTTTAAATTCTAATAACAGTAAATATTCTCTTCCAACAATATGTATGTATACTAAACTAAATTTGTGTATACAATGTTAGAATACAATGTTAGTATTAACTTGTCTAATAGTAGCTCGATCGTCATAAGAATTTTAATATCTTAGTAATTAAAAAAAAGCATGTAAAAGGCATGTAAGGTCTGCTGGTGCATAGGCATGTGAGGTTTAATTGCGACCGATCAATCTTACGATAGCTATGACAACTATTTAAGCCAATCACTTCCTGTACTGACTGCATTAAAAAGCAGAAACTAATTAAATAGCCTTGGGAAGAGCTAAGAAATGTCAAATTTTATGGAACACCTAAACACAACATGCATAAGATTGATCAACAAAAAAATGATACAAATATGACTATCGGCAGTAGTCTTGGATCTTGATGGGCCTTATACGTTTCCATTATGCCCGCTGTTAGAGTATACTAACAGCACAACAAGAGCTAAAACAAGAAACTGACAAAAGACTGCCGGCTGTGGCTCTATTATAGTAATATTGTAGACAACTTCCCTTCGCCCCTTGCAGTAGCTGCTGCAGAGGCAGCAAACAGCGTGGCGGCTACTTCAGATTCACTTTTCGCGGTTTTCAAACGCGACGCGACGGTCGCCGAACCGTCGACATTCAAGTGCTACTAAAACAGGTGTTGTTGTTGTTGTTGCTGTTGTTTATGCTATTGTGCAGCGACCGCGATGGTCTTGACGGTTCTCTTTTTATTTTCCATACCAATTTCGGCATGTTGTTGTTTGTGTAATTCGAATTTTGCAATTTATGCCATTTTTTGTCGTTTCACTTCTGTTTGACGACTACTTGATGTCCACAAATGCCATTAACAAATACCATATCTCTTCAAAGTTGTTCATCCACGGAGGTTGTTGTCTTAGCTATTTCTGCTGCTGGTGTTGTTGCTATTGCTGCTGCTGTTGCTGTTGCTGTTGCTGTTGCTCTCGCTTGTCTGTTCTACGACGCGTCGTTTACTATCAGCCTCTTGTTGGTCACCAGCTCATGCGCGCATTGCGGTAAATTTTATTATGAGCTGACAAGAGATTAAACAAAAACTGGGCATGCTCAACTAACGAATGTTGTTTG